CTTACTAACTCTGTGATCCTGAGCAAGTTCCTTAACTTCTCTGTGCTATAGTTTATCTGAAAAATGAGAATTATAATAACACTATGGGGTAAAAGCAAATAAGTTAGATATCAAATGTGCTAGCAACATTGCCTGGCACATGTCAAGCACTCAAAAATATTTCATGTATTTATATATTTACTTCTGTAATTTTTTAAAAGAGGGAGCCAATTTTACACAAAAGCATAATTTCCACCAAAAATAAGAAGTAGTTATGTTTCATAGGTAAGTTCCTAAAATAACCATTTGAATCAAACTGTTTGCTGATCCAAAACAACTAATTTCTATCCAAAAACAAACATATATTTCTTTTTAGAGCCTATAATTTGTGATAAGCACTGGAATCTTAATGAAGAAAACATTCATTCATCATTAATTAGTGAGTTAATCCAGTAAACATTATTTGAAGTCTGCTGTGTGTTAGTCACAACCAATACAAACTTGAATGAGATGTGGTCTCTGCTCCTCAGTCAGGAACTTGTAAACAACCACAGTATTAGAGGGTGCTAAATGTCACGTGAGAGGAGGAGGGGGACAGAAGAGGGTCAGTGAGCTCAAATTGGCAATGGAAAGGGAGTGGCAGTGGTGGGGGCTTCCTAGAGGATACATTGGTATATTTAAGTCAGTGAGAACAGAAGTCAGCAAGCAAATATGGAGCAGGAACAGCATGTGCAATGGCACAGAGGCAGAGAACCATGCTACCTACTGCCAAAACTTCAGGGGTTTTCAGGTGCTAAGGAAAAGGATGGGGGTATGGGGTTGGGAAGACAAAAGCAGTAGGAGATGGACCCAGAAAGACAGAAGGTCCAACTCTGTAGGCAAAGCTGAGAAGTTTGAACTTGACTTATCCAGAAAACCATGGGAGACCCTGAAGGATTCAGTAAGATATAGCAAGATTTACATCTTACCAAATTCCTATCAGAGCAGTGTGGAAAGTAGATTGAAAGGAGGTAAAAACAGAGACTGATTAGAAAGGTGTTGAATCAATCTAAGTGGATTCTGAATGAGGGTCTGGACCTGGAGCCTGGCAGGAGGAGTGGAGGAGAGGATGGACTGCAGACAGAGCAAAGGAAGAGTGTAGAGGGCTAGATGACTATACTGCAGAGGGTACACGCTTGGACATCAGAGTCAGACGTGCAGTGCCACCTCCCAGCTGTGTCATCATGGCAGGTTTCTTCACTTCTCTGACCATCTTAAAAACAGGCTGAGTAATACCTAATTTACAAGGATATCATATGGGGTAAAAACATTAGTTCATAGCAGGTATTCAATAGTAATAAAAAATAAAACATTGTAACATTTCTTTACATTAAATTAAATAGTTCTGTCCATAAAGAAAGCAAAAGGCCCTGGCTGGTTTGGCTCAGTGGTTAGAGCGTTGGCCTGCAGTCCAGAGAGTACTTGGGTTCAGTTCCTGCTAAGGGCACATACCTTGGTTGTAGTTTGTCCCCGGCCCTGGTTGGGTTGTGCGGGTGGCAACCACTCGATGTATCCCTTTCACATCAATGTTTCTCTCTCTCTCTCTCTCTCCCCTTCCCACTCTATCTGAACAAAATATAGAAAAATGTCCTCAGGTGAAGATTAAAAAAATAATAAATAAATTTAAAAAAAGTAAAAGACAAGTAACATGTTGTACAACATAACTATTAAAAATATTATTTTTAATTACTATTTATTTCTAAATATTACATTTGGAATCATTTATCATCCATTTCCTGTAGAGGAAAGACTGAGTTCAATTTTAGACATACTGAATGTAAGGTACATGTGGGACAACCAGATAAGAAAATTGAAGCCAAGGAACTGACTGAAGTTACTTAGGTGTTAGAGTGAGAATAGGAGGGAATGCCAAGGATGGCGTTTGGGAGACCCCAACATCACAGGGCTCAGCAGAGAAGAGTGGGCATGTGTCAAAGCCAGAGAAAACCAGAGATAGGAGGGGGAAGTTGAGAGAACATGGTGACGAGAACTTCAAGACAGAAACCTTCAAGAAGAGGGATGAGATAAAAATTACATATATCATATGTGTATTTTCAAATGCTGCAGAATGCCCAAGGAACCAGAGGGCAGTAAGTGTCCACTGAGCATGGTAGCACAGAGGCACTGTTTTCTCTGGACTACTGGGTTGGAAGCCATCTTCACACAAGTTAAGGAGACTGGGCAGACATTATATGTGTACCATTGTAATTCCAGAAGAAGAGAAAGATATTGACAAAGAAAAAATATCTGATAAAATAATAACTACAAATTTCCCAAATTCGGTGCTCCAAATACACAAAGCAAAAACTAAAAGGAGAAAGAGACAAATCCACAATTATATCTGAAGACTGAAACATTTCTCTCCATCACTGATAGAACAAGTAGAGAAAAACCAGAAAGGATACAGAAGGCCTGAACAATACTACCAGCCAACTTCACCTAATTGACATTTATAAAACACTCCACCCAACAGCAGCATAATACATATTATTTTCAAATGCACATAGAACATTAACCAAGATAGACTATATTCTGGGACATGAAACAAATTTAAAAGAACTGAAATCACACAAAGTATTTTTTTTGAACATTAAGGAATTATGGTAGAAACCAATAACTGAAAGGTATCTGAGTCCAGCTGGTGTGGCTTAGTGGTTGAGCATCGATCCATGCACCAAGAGGTCGCTGGTTCAATTCCCGGTCAGGACAAATACCCAGGTTGTGGGCCTGATCTCCAGTGCAGGGCATGCAGGAGGCAGCCAGTCGATGTTCTCTCTCACTGATGTTTCTATCTCTCTCTCCCTCTCCCTTCATCTCTCTCTAAAATCAATAAAGGGAGAAAAAAAAATTAAAAAAGAAAGGTATCTGAGAAATCCCTAAATTAAATAATATTTCTAAATAATCATGAGTCAAAGAGGAAGTCTGAAGGGATATTAGAAAATATTTTAAACTGAATGAAAATACAACATATTAATATCTGCAGGATGCAGCCAAAGCCATACTTAGAGGGAAATTTATAGCATTAAAATTTTTAATTAAAAACAAGCAAGTTCTAAATCAATCATCTAAACTTCTACTTTAAGAGATTAGCAAAAAAATAAAATTAAAACCCAAAGCAATCAGGAGGAGGAGAATAATAAATAGCAGAAACAATAAAATTGAAATCAGAAAACAATAGTAAGAAATTAATAAAACCAAAATCTAGTTCTTTGGAAAAACAAAATCAATGAAATTGATAATCCTCTACTTAATTTGGTCAGGATAAAGAGAGAGATGATACAAATTACCAATTTCAGGGAACAAAGAGGGGATATTACTATAGCCCTTAAAAATTTTTCAAAAGTAATAAGGGACTACTACAAACGACTCTAAAATTATCCACTGGCTTTGACAACAAGGAGATTATACTTATCTCAGTGAGAATAGTTTCAGTATGGACCAGAATAGGAGATAGGCCAGAATGGACAGAAGAAGGAATAAGAGGAGAATTTGTAGAACTAAAGAGTACAGACTACTCTTTCAATAAGACTGTGGGAAAAGACAAAGAATGGTAAGGTAGTAACTATAGGTAAGAAGGGCAACCTTTGGGAGGAGAAACCATGCCTACCTTTATAGGCTGAGAAGAATGATCCAGGGAAAGAAATGAATGATACAGGAGGGAGAACCAAAGGCACCATGTCCTAGAAGCAGCAGAAGGGAAAGGACCAGCAACAAAGTAGAACAGCTTAGTTTGCACAAGACAACCGTGCTCCTCGAAACCAGATGGGGATATAATAAAGATAGGAAGAAATACCAACTAGGATTGGTAACTATATCAGACTTATCATTTGTTTCACAGATCTTTACCAAACAGAAAAACTGTCAAGAACTAAGATTCTACAATAAAACTTTGTCATTAAATAGCTTACTTAAGTCATGTGAATTGTAGAATAGCTGAAGAAGACTAGACTTTTAATATTCTAGTGCTTGGGTCTGCAAACTATTTCTGTAAAAGACCAGAAAGTAAATATTTTAGGCTTTGTAGGCCAAGAGGCAATATCAAAGATACTATGTAGATAGATAAAGGAGAGAAATTTCTGATCTGCCTGGCCCTAATTGTTTGGGGTAGAAACATACTCAGGACAAGAAGATACTGGCCTGAAGAGAAGGGTCCTGGTGTGCCAGGCCAGCATGGGTAGGGGCACCCAGGTCAATTTCACTTTGTGCCCCAGAGACCCAAGATCCTGATAACACCCTTTTCTCCTCCCTAGGGCCCACAGGTCTCAATTTGGGCAGCCTGCTGGAAGCTAAGCAACTCCTGAATTTCCAACTGAAATTCCATGACTGGGTGCTTGCTTATAACCAACAGTAGCCAATGTGTAGGTGGCCACTAGTCTAGGCCCTGTCAGCAACACTGGGAGTGGAGGAAAAAATGGGTATGAAGAGAGACAACCCATATTGGTCTCCAAGACTCATTGTGCTAGCTGCCTCCATTGGTGCCTGGGCCTTACAAAAACAGATGGTAAGCTGGATTTGGCCCATGGGCTGTAGTTGGCTGGCCCCTGTTCTCTTGTCTCTAAAAACCTTAAAGATAAGCCTGAAGGGCCACCTTAAAAATTGTGAATAGCATAAAAATTTTTAATCAAAATACAAGTTTTCATATTTGAATACAATGTTCCCTTTTGCATTGACATTATTTTAAATAGTTATAAATAACACTTCTCATCAAACCCCTCCTTCTTTGAAGTTCACTATCAGTAGTAGAAAATGTAAATACTGACTAAGTCCTTGAGTCATAAAAGTAACACTTCTGGAAAGAGAAAGCTTTAAAACACAGACTGGTTAAATTATGTTACTTTTCCAATAAATTATACTTCCTACCTTAGAATTGAGAATTAGAAGGATAAGACATGGCTTGTCAGTACATTTTAAAATAAGAATGAAAGGAGAGCGGGAAGAGGAGGATGCTACTTGTCATGACATCTCCAGTTCATGGAACCTACCCTGATAAATCATCTCATCTTCCTCAGTCACATAGGCGTTGGCCCCCCAAATCACCATCTTGTGGATGTAAGATGGATATTTTGCAGCTGCAATGAGTGCTGTTATACCACCATCACTCCATCCCAGCAAAGAGACCGTCTTAAACTTCAACACCTGCAATAAATACAACAAAAAGCACAGCACAGGTTATTGCTCCTCTGTTAAAAGAACCCAATAATCAATAATTAACATAATCAATACAGCTGTGGGATTTGGGATATCAACTGATAATTAATGAAAAATTCTAGAGTCTACTATTTGATGAAATAAATGTTTCATCTCAATCAGTATGCTATAAATATAATTGTTATAAAAACTGAAGTCCATAGCATTGTTTTGAATTTTGAAGGAACTACTTCTGGTTGGATAAAGTCCCTCAAGGAACTGGAAACAATGGAGATCAGCTGTATCAATAACATGTGTGTGCATATACACACCTGAGCAAAGAATTTGAGAACAGCTGTGTAGATTAGAAAGGGAAACTGGATGAAATAAAGTCATTGCATCTGGTAAAATCCCTAATTGCAACACTGTGAAGAAGTGGCTGGAGGAAGTTTGGAAGACAATGGTGTCATGGGGAGGTTATGTTAGTCCCAGGGTGAACCAAGCAGGCTCTGAAAATGTATTTCACAGGGAAAATGAAAAAAAAAAAAATTACATCTGAGACATGCTGTCTAGAAGTAAAAATGGAATAATTAGGAAAATTAAGTTAAAGAATTAACAAGGACCAGTCCAGGATAGTTCCTGATAAACTGGGATAATCACTATGGCTAACAACTTGGTACTACCTTGTAAAATGAACGTGCATCTTCTATAACTCAGTAAGCCATCTCCTAAATATGTATGGAACACTTAAACATGTGCACCAGAGATAGGTCCAGGACATCCACAGCATCACTGTTATAATAGCAAAAAAGTGAGAACTAAAATGTCCAGGGACAACAGAAAGTTCACTGTACTGCTGTTTATAATCACCAAAAAAGGGCAACTTAAAAAGTTATTTATCTACCATTAGAAGAGATGTGAAATAAGAAACAGTACATCCATACAATGAAATACCATGTGTCTATTGCAATACTGATGCAGTTCAGCCTGAGTGGCTCAGTTGGTTGAGTGTTGTCCTGTGCACCAAAAAGTTGTCAGTTAGATTCCTGGTCAGGGCACATTCCTGGGTTGTAGGTTTGATCCCCAGTCAAGGAGTGTATGGAAAGCAACTGGTCCACGTTTCTTTCTCTTCTCTTCTCTTCTCACCTCTTCTCTTCTCACCTCTTCTCTTCTCACCTCTTCTCTTCTCATCTCTTCTCTTCTCACCTCTTCTCTTCTCTTCTCACCTCTTCTCTTCTCTTCTCTTCTCACCTCTTCTCTTCTCTTCTCTTCTCTTCACTTCTCTTCTCTTCTCTTCTCACCTCTTCTCTTCTCACCTCTTCTCTTCTCATCTCTTCTCTTCTCACCTCTTCTCTTCTCTTCTCAACCTCTCGTTCTTCTCTCTTCTCTCCACCTCTTCTCTTCTCTTCTCTTCTCTTCTCATCTCTTCTCTTCTCACCTCTTCTCTTCTCTTCTCACCTCTTCTCTTCTCTTCTCTTCTCTTCTCACCTCTTCTCTTCTCTTCTCTTCTCACCTCTTCTCTTCTCTTCTCTTCCCTTCTCACCTCTTCCCTTCTCACCTCTTCTCTTCTCTTCTCACCTCTTCTCTTCTCTTCTCTTCTCTTCTCTTCTCTTCTCTTCTCTTCTCTTCTCACCTCTTCTCTTCTCTTCTCTTCCTCCCTCCCTCCATTTCTTTCTTTCTCTTTCTTTCCTTCTCTCTCTCTCTCTCTTTCTCTCTCTCTCTCCCCCAGCATGTCCTCAGGTGAGGATTAAAAAAATACTGATGTAAACTTATATTTATTGATATGGAAGTATCTCCTTGACAAACTGTTCAATGAAATAGTAAGTTGGAAAAACAATAGGTACAGTATAGTGCAATCAATATAAAATTGGGTATTTATATGTAATAAAATTGGCCAGAAAGGCAGAGCCTCAAAGTCTTGGTAGTGGTATCTCTACATAGTTGGATTGTGGGATATTTCTACTTTCTTCTTTATACCTATCTGAATTTTTAATATTTCCTATAGAAATTGCATGATTTTACTTTTGTAGAAATAAAAAACAAAACAAAACTAAATGAAGACAGGCCCCCCTCCCTTGGGTTCTTCCCTAAGAGACCTACCTTCATCAAATCAACAGCATCTTTTGCATCCCTTTCAAAAAAGTCCCCTGGGTAATCTCGATCTGGGGGTCTGGAATGTCCATAGCCTCTAGGATCCCAGGCAACCACTGTGAAGAGCTGCTTATTTAGGTTTTTAATCTGAGGTCCAAAATCAGTCTCTCCACTTCCTAAAAATAGACACTTGGTTAATTCAGGTGAATGCTTTCATTGTTTCAAACACATTACTGTAAAACAAGGAAATAATTACCATCTTAAATCAAAGTAACTAGTTTCTACTCAAAGTTAGACACTAGAATGTAATCAGTAAAGGAAACTTGCTTCCAATAATGGAATCCATGGGAGGCTGACACCCTTTCCCGGTGGAGCTCAAACCTGCCTCTTATCTCCCCCTAGTGGCTACTTTGAGAAAGACAGGGACCCTGATTCTTCATTTGGTCCTGTATTATTATTCAAAGCCTGAACTTTCGATACTTCTTCAGCTTAATCATTCTTTAAAAAATAAATCATGAAACTGCACAGAAATAAACTTACTGATATAATATAATTCTGGGTTATTTTTCTTTTCGTTTTAAAAAAAATATTATTACAAGTGAGAGAGATTCCAATATCTGTAGATAAATTTATGAGATTTGATCCAAGTTACTCAAAGTAGAATTCTAAAATCCCAGACGTTGTTTTACTAAGCTAATGTAAATACCCCTGAAGATTTTGGGGGGTTATAAATAGAAACACATAAATGATGGGGGAGGGCAGGGTGTGGAAGAAACCAATCAAATTAGTTTATTTCATTAAAAAATTACAAAACAGCATATGTTAACAAGTCAGTGGTAAACTTGACTGGCAGTCCCCAGCCTGTCCGATGGTCACGGCCACTGAGCACATGCAGAGCTCTCTTGTGTGCTGTGCTCACATCCACTCAATGACATGTGCAAGGCTAAATCCTCAAGGAGCCCAGTCCAGGGGCCAATCAGCACTTTATTTTTAAGGTCTGCTTGGTTTCTGAAGACTCATAGCTCTGGCCACAAATAGACACTAAACACCTTGCTTGATAAACTAGCTATTATTAGAAAATGTCTTTCAAGATGGTGCGGGATCATTTGACATTATCACTGTTCCTGACAAGATGCACCTTTCTCCACAACCCAAGCTAAGAACATAAATAGATTTCAAGTTCATGTCTATTGCTCTGACATGAAAAGCCTCTCTTATGGTCCCTGAGCTGAAGGGACTGCCCCATGGCACTACCCTGAAGGGGCAGGATGTGAGAAGGCAGGAAAAGGGAACAGTCTAACTCAAGACCAATTTCAGAAACAGTAATACCTACTTTCTGGCACACAGCTCTACATTTGAAGACTAGTGCAAAGAATACTTAAACTTTAAAAAATTATTTTAAGGAACAGTTACCAGTATATGACAGTTAAAAAGGAAACACATCAACACTGGTTGCTTGTGGAGAAGGGAACTGGGTGCTGGGCTGGGGGTGAAGTGGGGCAGGAGATTTGGAGAGATCATCTCACTGTTTGACTTTTTGATTTTTGAATCAAATTAATGTTTTACATAAACAAAAGTTAAACTGTCAAAAGTATTTCACACCTGGATAATGATGGCAATACTGAAATAATGAAAATTTGATATGATAAATTTCATTGCCTTTACAGATAACTTTGGCTTGACATCAGCCATTGGAGTAAATGTCCTCCTTTACTACAATAGCTTAAGAAAAAAAATATACTAAATATTATCTAGACAAGGATGCTTCAATAGCTACAATGGTACCACACTCGACTGAGGTTCAGTCAGGTGGAACCATCAATAAAAAAAAACTTTAGGAGAAAGAAGCAAATCATAAAGAAATACATATAAATTGGCATTATTTAACTAAATAAAACAACCCAATATTAGGACCTTTAACATTTGAGATGTCCTGAGATCACTGGAAAATTTCCCCCTGAACTTTCTACAGGCAAACTACTTATCTGTAAAATGAGATTGAGATTCGGGTGGCTTTACAATACTCCATTCATATCAATCTAATTTCGATTTTCAAAAAGCCTTAAGCTCAGGTTTGTTCTTAGCTCTTAGTTTAATTGAACACACAGTAGACCACAAAGGGCCATCAAGCCATCTTTCAGAACTGAAAAGTCTCCCATCCTGGAAAACCCTTAATTCCAGGCAATCTGGAATGGTTGGTCACTCACTCATCTTCTTTCTTCATCTATCCCTTCATCCCACACCCCTTTCCTTGACCCCATCCTCCCAAATTGCAGGCAGCTAACTACAGTGTACTTGCATAGGGGAGAAAAAAACAGGTATTTAAAGGAATAAAAAATACATACAGCAGAAAGTTACCTTTCTATATCACCTAACATTGATTGTAGCAAATATTACTTAAAGCATTTCAGCAAAGTACTACAATTAATAATCAGTATTTGGCAACTAGTACTGTGAAAGCCTCATAGATTGCACAGCATGCAAGAGCATTCCATTAAAACCTTCCAGACCCAACATTCCAGGAAGCAGCAAGACTGCATGCTCGCCCTCTCCAGTCCGCTGATAATGCAGGTGGACACCATTCACAGCCACTTTGGCAGAGGTTACTGAGGTGCTAGAACAGAAAAACCCCATCCCCAAAGGAAAATTATTATTTAGCAGTGCCAATGTAATATGACAAAATTTCCCTTTTACACTCGAGTCAGCTCTAACACCCTTTTCAGGCTTCTCAGACTACTTTGATTTGTGCTTCAGTTTCCCAAACCTACAAAAGGACATGAGTGTATCTTCCTTACTAGACTGCAGAGCTGGACTGTGTCTTCATGTTTGCATATCGTACAGCACTAGCTCAGGGCTTACCCTACAAAAATACCAAGAGGCTTGCTCAAATCAGTGGCCATATAGGCCCATAGGCACATGCCTGGGGAGCTGTAACCCAGTAGTGCAAAGAGCAGGCTGACATGTGAGCTCCACACAATGGACTGTGAAGATGAGCATCCGCAGCACAGGCCCTGTGCTACCATCTGAACCTTAGAAGGTCTAGAGGAGCTGCCTGGACCTGCTGCTGCCTCGGCAGCATACTCAAGGATGAGACTGATCTCAGGAGTCCTCAGGGAAGGCCTTGATCTCAAGGCTATCCTTTAGGCCTATGATTTCTCACATTCTCTAGCCAGCTACAGAAGGGCTCTAGTTTGGAATGCCTGTCTGCATTGATATGGCCAGACTGGATTTTAAGATGTTGAAATAATTGTGTTGATTGTTAAATAGCTGAGTCCATAAGCTCTCATCTCAAAAGCCCTCCCCCTGTCACCGACCCTCCTTGACCCAAGACCTCCCATGATGCAATATCTAACTGCACATGCTTGGCATGGAGAGTCTCGGGCCAGGGCTACTGCCAGGGTCTGTTCTGACTGTATGATGTGTGTGCCATACCAGGTTTACTATTCTGATTACTCTCCTCAGCTGCTCTTCCAGAAGCTCTGAGACGACTATGCCAGGATATATAAGACCCCTGCATCAGACTCTAGCAGCCTCTCTACCAGTTTCTCAGATGGCTGGGTGACTGGAAGAAGGGACATTATGGCATGCCAGGACAGATGCTGGAACAAATGTGTTGAATACAGGTGTATCAAGTCTCGCCCTGGCCGGTTTGGCTCAGCGGTTAGAGCGTCGGCCTGAGGTCCTGAGAGACCCGGGTTCAGTTCCCGCTAAGGGCATGTACCTCGGTTGCAGTTTGTCCCTGGCCCTGGTCGGTTGTGCGGGTGGCAGCCACTTGATGTGTCCCTTCACATCGATGTTTCTCTCTCTCTCTCTGTTCCTCTCTCTCCCTCCCACTCTACCTGAACAAAAAATGGAAAAATGTCCTCGGGTGAGGATAAAAAATAAAAAATTTAAAAAAATTAAAAAAAAAAAAGTCTTAACACACAATCTTTGGAAAAATATGACTGAATTGTTTGGTAATAAGGCCTGACATAACTATAAGCTTATTATCCACAAAAATATTATGGGAGGAATAATAATAAAGCCATTAAGAGTAGTTGTCAAAGAAGGTTACTAAGGCAGAAATCTCTGAAGGTAGCTTTAGAGGGGAAACAGAGATCACATGAGGGTTGGGCAGAGGTATTTGGAGAAGACTGAGAAAGTAGCATTTGAGATGAACTGACAAAAATATGATGAGAGGGTGTGACAAAGGCATAGGAGCAAGGGACACATGTGTGGACAAGGCAGTGTTCAGCCTGGCAGGAGGGTAGGGAGCATATTTTGAGGTTGAATAGTAAAGGGGTTTGCAGCTCAGGGGAAAGGCAATGTTCCTAGCACATAGTCATCAACATCCTGTATGTGATCACACCAGAAGCACCTGCCATGATCATCAAGCTTCAGTTTGGGGGAACAGGACAGAGGACTGCTTATAAACAAAAGTAAATTAAATGCAAATCAAGTTCAAACATAAGAAAAAGTTTCATTTAAAAAAATAGTTATTGAGTGATCAATTTTCACATAAATATAATAGAAATGGGTATAGTCCTTTTTCTCCAGCGTATCAAGGGCCTTTTAAATGGCAGGCCGGCCTCAGATAAATACTATTTATTACATGTGTGATAGAAGAGAAACAGCTGCAGAGACCAGACCTTGAAGGGCCCTAACATGTGCTTATTACTTGAGCCACATTCAAGATACCAACTTTTCAAACTCTCAGGCAGAAACAAAAGAGACAACTTCAGAAAATTTAAAGGACAAAAATAAATCCCTTTCTTTGGGCAGTCAATTTGTCTTTTCCACTACCTTTTCCCTCCTAATAATTGCTTCTCTAACCCAGGTGTTCTTAAGTAGGTGTGTTCATTAGCATTACCTATGAAGAGTAAAAAATATACCTGCCTAGGCCAATCTTGGGAGACCACCATTCAGTGACTAGGGTAGAACCCTGGCATGTACTCTCTAAAATGCCCATACCCTATTGTACTACTCATTTATTCATACATTTATTGAACACCTATTTGGTCTGGGCACTCCACGTCACTTGGAAGCTGGCAGGAAAGACAGACAATGAAACCTACAACCAGCAGGTACTATGCAGTTTGGCAGGGGGATATAGCATACCCTGGGCAGACATCAAGTTCACCATGTCTTCACCATTTACATAGCTGCCCACTCAGCTCCTTTTTATGAGAGCATTTCCTGCCTCCCACTATGTCAGTGGGGCTCAAACTTAGATTTAAATCATCTGGCCCTGGCAGGTTTGGCTCAGTGGTTAGAATGTCCAAAGCAGGTCTGATACTGGTTAAGGGCACATATCTGGTTCTGTCCCCACTGGGGCTATGCGAAGGCAACCAATCGCCATGTTTCTCTCACATCAATGTTTCTCTCTCCCACCTTCCCTCCCACTCTGTCTTAAAAAAAAAAAAAAATCAACAGAAAAATACCCTTGGGTGAGGATTAAAAAAAAAAAAAAGATTTAAATCATTTGGTGAAACATTTTTTAAGTGCCTAAGAAATTTTAATTATTATTAAACTATGTACTTTTTAGTTTAGTTTTTTTTTTTATTTTCTGACAAACTTAAATGTCTGGATGCCCAGGCCAACTAAATCAACATCTCTGGGATGGCATCCAGGTATTTGTAATTTTTAAAATCCCCAAGAGATTTTAATAGGTAACCCAAGTTAAGTACTACTGTACTGAATTCATTTCTTGGAGGGAAACAAAAAAAAATCCCATCTCCCTTTTAAAAACAGCCTGTAGAAAGGCATGCTCAGCTAAAAGATTCTATGTCTTACCTTATATTGGTCCTTCACTCCATTTCTTTCTGGGAGGCTGGACAATTTTGTGAAAGGGAAGGAGGTCAGGAGCAATACAAAGGCAATCAGTTCCTGACTAAAGGAGCTAAGCTACTCCCCTCAAAGAGGAAGAGTTTAGCTTGGGGAAGGGGGGGGGGAGGGTTTACGAATGTAAGAGTTTGGGGCAAATGATTAAACTAAAACTAACATCTAGTGTAATTATTAAACTAAATAACAGACTCTGCTAAGAGTTTATCTTATCTCATTCATTTTGTTGCTTGATGCATATTAATTATACTTCACCAAACTTTACCACTGAGGAAACTGAGGATTAGAAGGTTTAGGTAGTTTGTCCATCACCTTGCTGGGAAGCTGCAAAGTCAAGAGGAGCACCTGATTGTCTGACACCACAGCCTTTGGCACTTTTTATACTTTGCTTAGAAATAAAAATGGGCGCTATTAATAGGAGACATCCTCACTTTGAAAGTCCTACATATTCTCTATATCTTGTATGTTTAGCAATTTCTTTTGTATATTTTTTCCAAAGTAACTATTAGCTACAATAAAACTACCATGCAGGGCATGGATTTACATAAATTTTGATGATATATTTTTACATCTTTTATACATTGTATTATTACTTATTCATATTTGTATCATTACTAATTTTACCTACTAATTACTTAATTCTTATGTCCCAGGCCTTTCACATTCACTGTCTCAAATCCTCAGAACAATTCTGCAGGGCATGTGGCTCAGAGAGGTTAAGTAACTTGCTCACATTAATGCAGCTAGGACGTGGCAATATAGCCATTTAAACACCAGAAACCATGCTTTTTCTGTAACCTCATAGCTGAAGAAGGTCCCTAACATGTCTCCAGCACTGGAGCCACACTCAACCTGACTGCCAGACAGAAGGTGGTGGCAGTCGCCAGGGGAAGGAAAGTCTCTGATTCTTTGGCAGAATATCCCGAGGTGAACTTGGTAAACATTTTTCTTCAGGCAGGTTATTAGGTTCTGTAAATTATTAATATTGTAACTGTACATAACATACAATTCTAGATAGAAAATACTTTTTTTTAAAACTGATCCTAGGACAAACCATTTTATAGGTTATAAAATTAAAAAAGTCAGCATTCCAAGTAACAGACTTATAAACAAGTTTTTGGAACACAACTCAATTGTAGGTAGGGCACTGGCTGTTACAGGGGTGCTTTTGCCTACTTACACTGGGCTGCAGCCTTGTTTCAGGATTAACAGCTAGTTGTTTTCCCTGATTGCATCACATCAATTTGCAACCACACGTATAAAATGGCAGTTCAAATTGCAGAGGAACCTGTTTTTCAGAGATATATTAGGAAGAATGATTTGCACTGCTAATGAATCATCCTTCCTGCAACTATTAAATAACCTACCATAACTTTGATATTGGTAAAATCACAGTAACTTTATTTCAATCCCATTCTGCAAAAAGGAAACTGGATAAACCACCATTTTTCAGTGTTGATTTACATATTGCTGTGGACATTGACATATTTTTCCATTTGCATCAAAACAGTCCTGAAAATCTTCTAAAAGATCTAAAATAATTTTTAAAAGAACCTAAATCAAATATTAAACTCCTAGTCAATCACAACGTAAAAATGTAAAGCGGGTCAGATTTTTCCTCCTTTCTCCTTTCAAATTAAGTTCAAATGAGAAGTTTCCACATTAGATAACATGAATTTCTAAATACCAGGGACCTCTCTTAGCACTTTACTTTTCTTCCTAGTCATGAATGGAACTTGCCAATCAACAGTTAATTGCATACATGCAGTGTGCCTGTGCGAATGCGTGTGTGTGGGGGCAGCTAGGTAGGTAGATAGGTCTGCAAGGAATAAAGTAAAGCAAGCTTCTTGCTGCTCTATCCACATTTTCCGCCTAACATTCCTTAGGACCAAGGGCACCCATTTTTAAGACAGTGGGTCATAGACTAATCAAATTTTGTTGTTGTTGTTGTTGTTGCTTTATCTCAAATGTGTGTGTTGAGGGAGGGTGCGGGAGGGCCGGTGTCACAAGAGAGAAGAAAGGCAGATTCTTCGGCATCTCCACGGACCTATAACATTCGAACCTCTGGGAGTCCGGCCCAAGACTTCGAATTCTCCCGGTTCCCAAGGTGATTCTTTGCACGAGATCAGCAAAAAGAAGGTTCCCCTGGCTCTGAGTGCTACCAGCTCACAGGCATTCTCAGGTTAGTTTTGGATAAACGAAACAAGAGAGATTACTGCCCTGAAGGTTTTAGGAGACTGGGCAGAACAACGGGCTGTGAGGACGGGGTTTGAGGTTGTAATCTGTCACGAGTGTCTGTGACTAGTCAATTACGTTTCTCCTTTGGGTCCCTGCGGTCGGCTTAACGAAGGGCTGGGCTTGCCAACACCAATCCTCCAGGCTTGAGCCACAGACGAAGCCGAGGCACAGCCGAGACGCCGCGGCCGCCCCCGGACGCGCAGGCAGCTCCACCTCGGCCCGCGGCCTCGAGCGGCCCCGCGGCCAGCGCGCGCCCCTCCTGCAGCTTCCTCTCCACCCCCACCCTCGGGCGCGGACGTGTCACGGGAGCTCCATCAGGGGAGTGGGCGCCATTACCCGAATGCGGCTGCGGGCCGGGCCCGGGGAACCTCGAGCCCTGACTTCAGAGAGCAGAGGAGCCTCAGCCGGAGCGCCCCGCGGCTGCCCAGCGCCGTAGTCATGGTCTCAGGTCGCGCCAGCGCCGGGAGCGCGCATGCGCCGATCCACACTGGCCTCCCCGCTGCTCCGCCGGGCACGCGCATGCGCCAGGCCGTGCCTCTGCCGCCGTTCGCCGTCTCTCTTCGCCGGACACTGGATCCCCCGACCGCATCCCATAGCTCTCTGGGTTCTCGCTGGTCCCTGCCAACCCGGGCTCACGGCACAGCGGTCCCGCGGGTACCGGGGCACACAGATCGTCTTCACTTGGGTACCAGCTCCAGCTCCGGAGGGCACGTCCCCGCTGGGTCTGCCCGGCCCGCACTCGGCGGCGTAACCTGGCGGTGCGACCAGAGCGGGCAGGCGGAGGGGCTCTGAGTCTGGCTGCCAAGGCGGGATGAAGTGCCTTTGCTTCTAGAAACGATGGGATTCAAGCATTTTGTTCTTTATACCACCTCACACTCATTAGAATGGCTATTATTAAAAACACAAACAAATTAATGGGTAGGGGAGGATGTGGAGAAATTGTAACCCTGCGCATTGTTGGGAATGTAAAGTGGTGCAGTGGCTGTGGAAGATGGTATGTCCCTCCATTAGTCAAAAATTAAATTTAATACTACCATGTGATCCAACAATTCCCCAAGGAACTGAAAGCAGGATCTCAAACTAATATTCATACATCCATTTCATAGCAGCATTATTCACAGTAGCCAAAAACTGGAAGCAACCCAGCTGCCTGTCAATAAGTGAAAGTATAGATAAAATGTGTATACATATAATGGAATATAGTTTTTGCCTTAAAAAGGAAGTTTTGACATATACTACAACATGGAGAACCTTGAGGCATCGTGCTCAGTGGAATAAGCCAATCACAAAAGGACAAACCCTGGATAATTGGTCCCCAGAGGAGACAAATTCAGAGATAAAAAGTAGAATGGTGGTTGTCAGGGACTGGAGGAGGGGGTGGGGAGTTTGTGTTTAACAGGGACAGCCTTTCAGTTTGCCCTGGCCGGTTTGGCTCAGCGGTTGGAGCATTGGCCTGCAGGCCAGAGTCCAGGGTTCGGTTGCATGTACCAAAAAAAAAAAAAAAAACAGTGACAGACTTTCAGTTTTGCAAGATGAAAAAGTTCTGGAGAAGGGTGTTGGTGATGGTAGCACATTTGTGAACGCAGTTAATGCCACTGAGCTATACACTTGAAAATGCTTAGGATGGTAAATTTATGTTATGTGTATTTTGCCACATTAGAATTTTTTTTCTTCTTCAAGACCATATAATTCAAGCTTTATAAAGGTTATAAACATCTGGACTTGGAGATTCAGTGGAGAAAAACAACACCCCTTTAATTCTGACTACCACTGTGCCTTACCTTAACTGGAAACAGCTGGGAGATTTGTGGCTGTTTAGTCTTGGCTTGGATTATTCAAGATGCCTACAGCCTTCTTGCATATTACATTATTTCTCCACCCAGATCCGAGTGCTTTTAAATGTTACAGCCATGGAAAGTTCTGTTACGCGCAGTGACCTCACTGGCCCATTAGAATTTCTTGAGCAGGAAAGGCAGGTTTGGCTTAATATGAAATTTGCAAAAATTTTTATATTCTACTTTCAACATAATCTATCACATCAAATTTCCTGACCAGAAAGAAAATACATACTTCAACTGACTACTTTCATTTGAATTGCAGAAATCTCAAGTGAGGCCAACATTTCCTTATTTTTTCCTGAAATGTTGATTGGGGTTTCTTATCAGAGATGATGAGGATTAAGAAGAATTGTCTACAATTTTAACACCAGTTATCCTACTGGTGAGCAAAACAGTAACACTGAGGTTTTAGGTTATTAGTGTCACAATTTAAAGTACGCACTTGAGAACTAGCCCTTTAACTATAACACAAGGGTATAGTTTAAAAAATTACTACTTTTGTGACAGGCACCTTATGATGCATTAGCTTATGTTATTCTTCATATCAATATTTCATATTTTGCACTCTATATATGAGGAAACTGAGGCTATGAGAGGTTAGGAATCAGGCCCTTAGGTATACAGCTAAACAGTGGCAGAGGGGGATTTAAGTCTGCTTGATTTCAGAACCCTGTATGTGGGTTATTACATATTGCAGAATTCACTGTAGTAGTATTGCCATTCAATTTTTTTTGTGATCAGAAGCCTCTGCAATCATCATATAAACACCCATTTTATTTACATTGGTATAATTAGAAAAAACTGTTCTCTATAAATAACATACATTAAAATGGTCAGTGAAATACTATTTACTTTTTTTTTAATCCTCACCTGAGGATATTTTTCTATTTATCTTCAGATAGAGTGGAAGGGAGAGAAAGGGAGAGAGAGAAACATTGATGCGAGAGGGACACATCGACTGGTTGCCTCCCACATGACCCTGACCAGGGCTGGGGATGAACCACAACTGAGGTATGTGCCCTCGGCTGGAATTGAATCTGCGACTCATTGGTCTGCGGGCCAGTGCTCTACCGCAGAGCCAAACCAGCCAGGGCACAAAATACTATTTAAACTATTTTCTAAGAAAAGAATTTTTCTTATTCTTTAAGACCTAACTTCATATTCTGGACCCAAAGAAAGATTACGATCATAGCAACAAGTGAGCAATCTGCCGAGCAAGACTGAGCTGGAAGCCAGTCTTATGTACTAGCGGTTACCTGAAGGCTGAAATATCATTTGGGAACCAAGTATGGAAACTCTTCTTCCTCACTTTGTAGTCTGTTATCTCAGTTAGCTTCTGCTGAAAACTAGTGTTTTTGTGGTGCTTGGGCCTCATACTGAAACTCCTCAGACACAAGTTGGACTCTTCAGCCCCGGTTTTAGAGTGCACAGGCAGAAGGCAAGGCCTCTGAGCCACGTCTGAAGGACAGCAGGAGGCTCTCAGGGCAGCGAGCTTTCATCCTGGGACAAAAAGCTGTTCAGAAGCTTCTCTTTTTACCATCAGCTTCCTCTCTTCTGCCAACAGCAGGCAGTGAAAATAGGACTGTGTTTCAGAAATGCCAACCTACGTAGTAAAGTCCCGGTGGAGAACCCTAAACTGCCTCATTTGTACGAACGCACATCATTTCCATGGCTTATATTTAAGGTACAAAATTTTATTTTTAAAAAGTCAATTAAAATACTTTCCAGATTTATTGAAGAAAAGAAGGTGGTGGGCAGAACTGGAGCGAGGGTGAGTGTGTAAGAGTGTGAGCGAGTGTGAGAGGGAGTGAGTGTGGACCAGCAGCCTCAAGCAGTGTGGAAACGTGGGGCAGAGGGTTCCTGTGCTGTGGATGGGGAGCAGCCAGCTACCGCTGTGCCCAGTTTGTCAGAGCGCTTCTCCCTGCTCCGCGGGGAGGCTGTGCCATTTTGTTTTTGTTTTGTTTTTTAATCCTCACCCAAGGATATTTTTCTATTTATCATCAGATAGAGTGGGAGGGAGGGAGAGAATCATCGATGTGAGAGAGACACATTGACTGGTTGCCTCCTGCATGACTCTGACCACAGCCAGGGATGAACCGCAACCGAGGTACATGCCATTGGTCAGAATCAAACCCGGGACTCATTGGTCCATGGGCTGACACTGTAACTGCTGAGCCAAACTGGGCAGGGTGAAGCTGTGCCATTTTGGAAGGTCCACTGGTCTTCTTTGGGAGGAGGCAGTGGGGAGTGACTAGGCCCCTGTGACCTGAGTCCAGCAGTGCGCCTTGCACCATTGAACCAGTGGATCCCGCTTTGTCAATGCAGACCAGTGCACAATAGTGGCGCTGTCAAGGTACCTGCTGGTAGAAGCAGCAACCAGCCAGGAGCTGAGCACCATCCCCCAAAGCAGCAGTGGTAACTCCAGCTTGGGAGCCCAGCACCCTCCCCGACAGAAGCAGTGACTGGCTTGGGAGTGAAGCCTCAACTCCAGCTTGGGAGCCCAGCACCCTCCCCGACAGAAGCAGTGACTGGCTTGGGAGTGAAGCCTCAACCCCAATGACAGCTGAGGCTCAAGAGCCCAGATAAACCCCCAGCAGCAGAGTCTGGGAAGCAGACACCAATCCCCAGGCAACAGCAGCAGTGCAGACTGGCGGCTGAGACCCATACCCAGCAGCATGAGCAGAGGCTGATCAGGAGTGGTGCCCCAACCCAAGCAGCAGCAAGGCTTGGGCAACCAAGACCCACCCCTGACAACTGCAGCAGCGGATTTGGAGTAGAGCCTCTTCCCCAGCAGAAGCAAAGTCCCGGGAGCTGAGCATCCTCAGCCCCCAACAGCAGCAGAAGGTTAGGAGCTGAGAGCACCCCCTGGCAACAACAGCAGCAGTAGCAGTAGCAGCGACTGATCAAGAGCTGAGCCCCACCAGGCAGCAGTGGTATCTGAGGACCCATGCACTCATGCAGTTCACCAGCTGGACCCACACACCCCAGCAGAGCCAACCACGACAGACTATACCAGCCGCCAGTTGTCAATCTTCCAGGACCCACAGCAGGCAAGAGATGCCACACACCAGAACAGTCTGGGAGGCACAGTGATCTTATTTGATACACACCAACCTGCCTACACTTCCTAACTAACACCCCTCACTAGCCTGAGCTAAAATAGTGAGACAAAGAAACAACCCCCAAATGGAAGAAAAGGAGGAATCACCAGAAAAGGAACTACATGAAATAGAAGCAAGCAGTTTGTCAGATAAAGAATTCAAAACAATGATTTTAAGGGTGCTCAGACAATTTAGTGAGAAGTACAAGCAACTTAATGAGAACTATAAAGAGCTAAGTGGGAACTATATCAGCATTAAAAAAAAAGAGGTAGAAGCTATGAATAAAAAATCAAGTAGAAATAAAGAAGGACATAGCTGATATGAAAAATACACTGGAAGGATTCAATAGTAGATTCAAAGAAACTGAAGACTAAATCAGCGAGTTAGAAGACAAGGTAGAAAAAAACACTCAGCCCTATCCGGTTTGGCTCAGCGGTTAGAGCGTCGGCCTGCAGTCCAGAGAGACCAGGGTTCAGTTCCCGCTAAGGGCACATACCTCGGTTGCAGTTTGTCCCCC